ACAATGTTTTAATATAAAACAATATTGTACATATGAACAAACAAAATAAATAATTCAAATAGTTCATTTTATATTTTTTAGAAATACTAAATATTCGAACAATAATAATAACAACAAAAGTAATATCCATATATAATTAAATGCATAAAAATATAGATGTGTGTGTGTGTGTATTGTATTAAATTCTTGTTGTAGCTGTAAATCTTATGAAAGAATTTCTCGATAGGAGAATGATTCAGCGTCTAACATGAAATGTAGTTAAGGAAAGATATTCGGAGTCTCGATTTTCGGTGATTCTCAGACGAGGGGAGTTTTGTTCGAGACACGGAGTGGTTCCCGCCGGTCAAGGTGAACGTCGGAGCCGGTTCGTAAACCAAGGGAGAAAAAGGGAGAAAGAAAAAGAAAGAAAGATAGAGAGAGAGAGAAAAAGAAAGAGGATCTCGACGAGATTCATCTCTTCGCAACCATAATCAAGAAACGATGGTCCGATCTTCGTCTCGTCATCATTATCTTAACAAACAAAAAGTTCGTAATAATTTATTGAAACATTTTCATAGCAAATCATTGATAAATTTTCACGTAGAATTTATCTAGGAAATTAATATAATAAAAATTAATATAGAGATATTTCGTATACGTAAGAAAATTATTGTTATATTATTTTTTCAATAAAAACATGTATATATGCAAAGATAAATAATTATTATTAATGATAATATAATTGATTGATATATCAAGTAGAAGGTTTGGAAAGTTTGTATAAATTTTTATAAATATTTTTTCAGTTGATTGAAAGGACGACAAAAGGATTAGGAGTGAGATTATTGTATATTGTTAAAAGGTACCTAAAAATTATGTATAATGACGATGGGTTAAATTGTTATTAATTTCTATGATCATTGTTTTTAAATGAATCTATCATCAATAGATTTTATTAAGACATACAATTGTATATATCTTTGAACCTTCAATAATATATATATATATATTAACAGTATAATATATAAAGAAGTATAATGATGATGGGTTAAATCATTATTAATTTCTA